TTTTTTTTATAACCTTTTAATTTAAAGACATTATCATAATCTTCATTTTATCATTTTCGTCTTTCTTAGAGTCATGCTGAAGATCAATAAGGAACTTTTGTGAATTTAGGAGATGATTGGTGACGGAAATGTGATAGCGGCGATGAAATTGAAGTTTAATGATCTATGTGAAAGAAATTAAAGCTTAATAATTCATTTGAAATTTTGCTCGAAGTTCAGTGATTGCAGATGAAATTAATCCTTACATTCTTTGACTAGTTTGGTATCCATTATCGGATTCCCCTAATGATGGGGACTTATCATAGTAGAAGACTGCAAAATTGGAAGCTTGCTCTGAAGATCAACATCTCCAATATTACAATCTTTGACCAATTCCTATGTCCATTCATCTCCAAATACCTCCATTGGAGGCCCTAGTTTCCTATTGGAATACTAAAGAAAATTGCTAGTTGACGGCATTTAGACTTGGAGTTCCATTTTAAAATATTAATTTTATTAAGAGGAGTAGTTCAAATCCTTATATATTGGTTTATATTTTCATTTTTATTCGATATGAGATTTATCCCTTAATAAAAGAAATAGAGACAAGAAATATTGGCCATAATTATTTTATTTTTGGTGTTCTTGTATCCTAAAGTTGTAAAATATATGCCAATTTGATTTCTGAGAGCCAGTAGCATCCAAATTATAAGCATGTTTCGTTCATCCATTAAAGCAAACTCCCCTCTACCAATGATTAATATAAATTAAAAAAAAAAAAGGTAGAATAATAGAAGGATATGATTATCACTTATATTTTATGAGTCCCAAGAGTGGAGTAGAGCTTCAAGGAGATAACCAAGCTTTTATTTTTATTTATTTATTTATTTATTTATTTATTTTTTTACAGGGGAACTCACAATCGCCACCTTTCGAGTGCGCACTTGATAAATCCTCGAGCTGAAAAATAACCAAGCTCACACATTAATAAGGAGGTTGACCCCCAAATAGTTCCACTATGATTGAGCCTAAGCTTAGGACCGGAACTAATATTTCTATTAAGTTATTTTAAGACTTTTGTCATGTAGACGATACTTTTGAATATATATTGATGATGAATTAGACTTGCAATATATGTTTTATGAGTATACTCCACTGTACTCGGAAGAAGATAGTGATGATAGTTACAAGGAGTCAATAACGTATATGGCCATATGCATGGTGACGTGCAAGCAGACGAGATTTCGAGCTGGAATTTGTACTCTTTAGATTTCATTTAACTTTCGTAGATGGACTTCTCTCTAAGTTTGCATCGTTCTTTTTAGTTTTATTATAAATAAATGGAAAGATAGACTAAAATCAAAAGAAATTCCTTCTTTGAAAAAAAAGGGCAGAACACAATCAATGTCCCTTTTGCTTGTCACATCCATACCTAGGGTTGGACATGATACGGTTCGATTCGATTCTCACTGGACTCAAGATCTTAGGGTATTTAGTAAGTCGAATCATCGGGTCCAAATTTAATTATGAAACCGTCCAATTCAATTCCATTTGATTTAGTTCGGTTCGATTAGGTTCCATTCGATTCGATATGTTCATTCTTAACTCTTACAAACTACACGTCTTTTACGTTTCTCTTTGATGAGTTCTTCCTAAATTTGATTGTTAAAATCACAGGAACATAAAGATAGCGAACTCAAAATAATTAAGAGAGCCGTCGAACTTCAATTAGATTTCTTCAGAACGATAGAAACGACACTACGGTAAAATAACATATTTGAATAAAACTAAGGTCAATTGGATTAAATTGGCACTGAACTGAAAATTAGAAATAGGAAAATCATATATATTTTTTTAATTTGAACTAAATTAACTAGTTAACAAATTTATTTAGAAAAAAATAAAATAATTTGATTTATTTAAAATAAATTAATTAAAAAATTAGGAAAATTCGATTCTTATTCTGTTACTTGGTTCTTGATCTAGAATCGAGAACCGAACAGAATCGAACCCGTTGATTTTTTATTTAGATTCATGTTCTGATATTTAATTTAAGAAGAACCCCTCGATTTGGTTCGATTTGGGAGTTTTGTCCCACCCTATCCATACCCAAAATAAATAA